CAGAATAAAATATCATACGGGAAAACAAAACAGAATACTACACTGAGTAGTTATTACATTGAATTGAAACGGAAGCAATGTTGAATAAAAATCATGATGAGTGAAAGAATATAATTTTGACTTTTCATTCCATCATACCACCCTCTACTATTTTTCTGAAGTTTAGATCCTGACTTCAAATTTTCTGAGTTTATCCTCCTCCACGAATTAATGTTGGATCCTCACATTCCCAAGTTACGATTAATGTGACTTTATTTAAGACATTTCTCGCATTGAATAGAGAATCTGATAAAAATGACTAGATGGCGAGGATAAACGACATTTGATATGAGGTCTTCAGGGTCTGATCCTTCTGCAACATTCCCATGAAATTTATTGAGAATCTCATTAGTAGATAATGGATCACCAGGGAAATCAGTATCTACCAAAATTGCATTAGGTTTTTGACAATCGTTTGATTAATATGACAAATTTTTCTCATTTTCGTAAGAAATTACGTCAAAAATATATAAATCATTAAAAGAACCCGTATCTAGCTAAACGACTAGAGAATCGTGATAGGTAGATTCATCAGAAACTTTTGTCGCAGAATGATGAATCCCATTTGGGGCAACTGCATTCATTATGCTGATCGATTTATTTTCTCTTTCATCGTGCGTGGGTACTGCAATAATTTCATGAGCACTTAACAAGACACCGTCTTTCTGTGAGCTGGGAACATCACTGCTTGTACATTATGTTTCAGGAATAATGGGATTTGAACCCAATACAGGGCATGTCTCTGAAATGGACATTACTGGACCATCGGGCGGATCATCTATGACTGTTACTGTTTTGTTTAAATTACTGCTTATAAGTGTTATATCGGAAGCTGTGTCTAACTGTAAGAGGGCATCACACTCATTATTCTTGAGAGAAACATACTTTCTACGGTTATGAAAGCCGGTTATTTTAAGCAGTCATATCAGCCTTCTGTGATAAATTCATAATCATCAAACTGATTAGTTACAGTTTTGGCATTTTGATGTCCAATGTTGGTGAATATATAAGTACAACTTGTCAGCAAGATGGATACATACTCTATAAAATATACCCATCAAGTGTATCAAGTATGATCATAACAGTAAATAAATAAAGTCTTTAAATCGAAGAAAATTGTCAACTATTTTCACTTAAACAGTGTAATTTCAATTCACTATAGACTCTTGAATAAACAAATTTTGTCGTTTTATCAAGTGTTCACAGTTTCTTTTCAAAATCCTCTGAACAGAATATGTGTTAGTCAAGAATGTGCAATAATATTGATTCTGTGGTAATTTTTTCTAAAAACAAGTTTGTTCACCAGTGCTAAGGTGATTGTTACATTTCATAGTTTACACTATAAACTGACCTTAGTTAGATAACCAATGAAAACCAGTAACCGGTATGGGGTTCTCCAGCATAATGCATCTTTTTTATTGCTAGGGATAAAATTCACGACGTTCAGGTTCCATTCAAAGTGTTTAGTCTATGGATCATCAACTTGGCATCCAATAGTCTATAATTTTAACTTGGATCCGTTTGCGATATTTCACCACCATGGTTTGTTCTTATTAATGACAATACTTCCTAGTTATCTAACTATGATCAGTTCGTAATGTAAACTACGAACAACAAGTTTGTGTCAAAGATATGCACTATTTAAGCGGCTAAGCGTAAAAGATTGATTTTGCTAAAGTCACCCACTTGTGACATCGAAATGTTCAGTCATTGATAATTCATTTATTGCGATGTATTAGTTTGATTATTTTCATCAAAGTGAACGGAACTATTTTCGTCAAGTTAGATTAATTCATTTCATGTAGAAGGAATAAATATTCAACTTCATTCAACAGACATATGAACAAAATGAATATAAGATCCAACCTAACAAATGTTCCGAAGAAGGTTACTTTTATTGACGTTATCATTCCAAAATCACACTACCAATGAAATAATAATAAAAAGGTTAAGAAAAGGTTTTCAGAAAAAATTTACTACACTCAAATGGAATACAATCGTCAGATAATCGAAACCACTGAAGACAGGTTGTTTGACCTCGTTACATCTACCTATGTTTACTAATTCAACTGCTCCTGGGGAGACAATTATACAAGACGTATAATTCGGCGAGTCTATTATTGTACGACAGAACATTATCTGTCTTGGTTGTGCAAAGAAAAGTTGAGTGTGATTAACAGTATTATTCTCGTTCAGTTGATGGACAGAGGATATCAAGTTAATTTAGATGTTTTTAAAATTATGCAATGTGTTACATCAAATTTACTGCATGTTTTAATGGTTTGTCGTTTGCGTACTACTGAGGATATAGAAATCCATATTCATAAATATATGCTTCATACTGAAAAGACGTGTACACCGCTTCTCTCTACCTTGGTTATCGATACGGAAATGAGTTTTATCTTAACTTTAACGAAACCTATTCTTTCGAAAAAGAACTCGAAAAGTTTTTTTATTTCGAAAACAGAAAGAACAATGGATTGGGCAGAATAAAATCAATTACTTATACTATTTTGGGTTCTCATTAGCTGCTTACAACCAATGCTATTTTAAAAGCAAAATTATCATCAACCTAACATGCTAATAACAGTGTAATTGGTTAGGCGTGAATATGTATCATCATAGTGAAACAGCAATTCAAGTAAATGTAATGGAATTAAAGGGATATATATTTTCATGCCGGTATCATTCACTTGATCGTCACAAAACGTTCAAAAACTGACTTATAATATTAAATAATTTGTAATCTGCAAGCGCTGGAAGTGGATAGGACACACATTGAGGAAATCATCCAACTGCGTCACAAGACAAGCCCTCACATGGAATCTTCAAGGCCAAAGGAAAAGAGGAAGACCAAAGAACACATTACGCCGAGAAATGGAGATAGACATGAGAAAAATGAACAAGAATTGGATGGAATCAGAAAAGAAGGCCCAGGACAGAGTGGGTTGGAGAATGCTGGTCGGCGGCCTATGCTCCATTGGGAATAACAGGCGTAAGTAAGTAATCTGGAAGCCATGCAATTGCGTTATAAGCAGAGATGGATGGTATCTAGAGGTGAAATCCACGACGCCCGTTTCACCCTATTCAGCACTCGTCAGCTGGGTGTGCCTGCATTTCAGAGTTAATTTTCAGTCCGGGACTCGAACCCAGTACTTGCTTGAAACGCAAGCGAATTAACCATTTAGTTACTGAATTCTGATAGCCACTAGCTTGTGCAATAGAGTGAAGTTTAATTTGTTTTTTATTGGTTGTTTGAATCTTCCTTTACGATGTTTAGGACTGTAGTTGATCAGTTACTTATTAGTATATGTGAATCCTGTACAGATTGCCTCGATATCCCCTTAGATTACAAGCATTATAAACTGAGATATATGGTGGCTAGCAGCGGATTCCACTGTCAGCTAATATCCATATGTGCTTATAAGGCAATCGAATAGTTTCCAGATTACAATTATGTGGTTTTAATTTTCACAAATAATTACTTTGATTACTACAATCCTTCTTATTCTAATTAATTAGTTCATTACTCAATAGTATTTTCATAGTCACTATCAAACTGTACATTTGTAACGTTACATCAATGCTTAGTCAGTACTATTTTATTACTGTAAATGTAGAATTTAGCTGTTTCCTTTACCTTGTATAATCACTGATGATTGCTTCATAAATACAACAAATACGTGATGAAGCTTTTCAAATTTGGCTAAACCTTTCTAGCTGATCAGTTATATTTTACTATGATTACCACTAGATCTAATGACAGTTAGTTTAAAACAATTTATTAGATTCTTGTTAGCAATTCATTTTTATTGATCAAGTTAACAACAGATTTTTCATTATTTAGGGTTCGTTTTATCCAGGTACATTCCATAGTGCGATGGTGGAGAAAATTTGTATCTCATGTGGGTGATTTTGATGGACGTTCGTTCTCTGTAGAAGTCTACATGAAGTTTGTGCTGATGATGTTGTTCAGAAGAACGATGAAAGCTCCACGACCAAAGCATCCAGTTCGGAGAAAAAAACTCCATCAAGATGCTCACGTGTATTAAATGTTACATTAGACGCATGTCTTTCAGAGGAAAGCGAAAGGTGGATAACTAGTGAAGGCATTTGATTTTCAAGCATTATGCTACATGATCAAAATCTGTTCCACTTATCTCGGTTTATCTGACCAGGTAGGATTATAATTTCTCACAGTCAGTTTCTGACTGAAAGCTAGGTACACAAATCTGTACCTAGTAAGTGAATTAAGTCAGTCACTTTTAAAGTTTTTGATTCTTTACTGCATGTAAAATTAATTTATTCTGATAAAGAAATGATTAAGTTAAACTTCTGATATCCTATTCCATGGTTCAATGTTCGATAATTGACCAATTTCAAGATGGATTTTCTGGAGTCCTAGTGAGAAGCCATGACCAGTGGAGTCAAATTCGTGTCAGATGTGAAACAATTATCCATCTCAGGCAATGGATAAAAAGTCACCCAAGCCCATGGATCGATTGAAGTTAGACATTAACAGATACAGGTTCACTCGTCTAGAGTTGAAGCGTTCACACGCGAGACCAAAGGTCTTGGATTTGACTCCCGAGTGTGGGATCGTAAGTATATACTACTGGGAAGTCCCATACTAGGACGAAACAGTCATCCAGTACTTCTTAGGTTTTCACTAGTGATCTAAATTACTACAATCTTCACAAATCCTCATTCTACTAAACGTATCATGTTTAAATCTGACCATTATTTTAATGATTGTATCGCTTAATTTGCACTTGTATTTTATTTATTTATTTTTTCTTCTCTCATTAAAGTTCACTTCATCTTAACTGATGTACTTAATTTGATATGAATTAAAAGTTCACTATATAAATATACCTTATTTTGAGAAGAAGAAAAAAGGACAAAAAAAGAAAAGAAACGAAGAAGAAGTTATTTCACATTTGTGTTTACATTAAATCATAATGAAGATTTTATATGTTTGTTTATTAATTATTACATTATTTACTGTGACTATTCAATATAATTATCAAACATATCCAAATAATTATCGTAGACAATTAAATAATCAATATAGCCCTAGTAACCATTATTATTATTATAATAATTACGATAATAATAATAATAATAATAATAATAATGAAGGTAAACGTTATGATGGTAATAATAATAATAATAACCATTATTATTATGGTCACAATCGTAGAAAACATGGTAATTATTATCCATCTAAAAGATATACTAATAAAAAACCTAAAAAAATGCATCTTACAAGAAAATATCTTATTGAAGGTGAAGCTAAACATATTCATCAAAAACATGGTGAAAAACATATAAAATCAGTTGGTGAATTATTTGGTTTTACTGATACATATCAAGGATCGGATTATTCATTAACAACAACATTTCATAAAGGTAGTTTATCAACAAAATATGGTAAACCAAAATATTTTTCTACATATGATACAGAAGGACAAGTTAAACATTATAAAAATACACATGGTCGTGCTAAATTTAATCTTAATTCCAAATTACATGGTCATGAAAAATATAAAGATTTAAAAGAAATGAAAGCCAATATAACATTTGAAAATAATGATGATACAACAGATGATGAATCGAATTATTCACCAACAAATCATCCATATGGAAAATTAGAAGGTTATTAATTCAATATAATATGATAATGAAAAGAAAACGAACCAATTCTAAGTTAGTTGATTGAATGTATATATAACTATTATACATGAATATATATCTATGTATCATGTTATGAAATTGTACGTGTCATTATTGAGAATTGAGTAAATCATATCAAAGACGAACAAATAAACAAACAAACAACTTCTTATGACTTCTTTTCCCCGCTTTTTCTTCTTTTTTTCTTTTCTTTTTTCTTTTTAAATTCATGACCTTCCCTTTAAATTATTTATGATGTATATTTTAATTTGATTAAATAATAATGATCCATTTATACAGAATCATTTATTTTCTTGTTATTTTTGTTCAAAATTATTATTTATGAATAAAGATAGTTAAAAAGGAATAATCAATTTATCACTGATTAGTGATTGATTTCATGTTTGTTTAACTCTTTAATTGTGAATGAATTTTATTCATTAAGTTGTAATATGATCCTCTAAACTAAGTGATATAACATTGATTGTATCATATTGAAATGTTAGATAGTTGGATATATACCTTAGTATATCTATTAATTAAGATGTATATGTAATCTTGGAGGTATAGTGAAATTCGAAATAGTATCAATGAACTATAATAAGCTATTTTATTTGTACGAATATTCGTCAAGATTAGGACGAATAGTTTGACAGAAATCGAGCGCCGAATATAGAGTAGTCATTATATATATGAAAATTATATTTGAAATATTCTCAGCGATTGAAATTTAAATAATTCCAACGTTTCGTTCAGCAAACTTGTCTGAACTTCTTCAAAGTAATAATCAAAATGATGATTTGATGATTTTGATTATTACTCTGAAGAGGTCCAGACAAGTTTGCTGGACGAAACGTTGGAATTATTTAAATTTCAATCGCTGAGAATATTTCAAATATAATTTTCACATATATTTTATTTGTGATTTGATCAGTTATTTACCGTTTTATTTATATTTAACAATGTTCAATTTTAAGGTATGAGTAAGAATATTAAACTGTTGCGTCAATTATTAGAATATATAAAACGTTCAAGAACTCTGATAAATTAATATGATGGAAAAAAAGTCAATGTTCGATTGATTTACTTATTATGATTCAACGTGAGGATCATGCAGTGTAGTAGTTGATTTGTTTTCTCAGTATGATATTTCCTTCTGTATAATAAACGATATTCTTGTATTCAATTGACATGAACTATGCTCAGTAAGTGATTTGTTATAGCTGAGTATGAGATTTAATCAAAATGGGTGTACAATCAATATATAAATGAGTGTATTTTAGACTATTATGATTCATTAGTATTATCATCATTATCGTCGTCGTCATAGTGTTTTGGGGGCTAATAAATTTTCACTTATACCAGTCTTTGTGTTCTTACTTTCGCGTCGTGGGAATTGCAGAGGTCACTCGTTCCCAGTATAAGTGATCAGCGTTTTTCCGGCATAGCAATCAGCAACGACCGAATATAACATAAATACAATTGTCGAACTTAAAGGTATAAAAAATTATGTATAAAGTTATGTGAATTTATCATTTTTGTACAATGGAGTATTAAACTTGACAGTGAGAGTGAATTAGAACCAAGAAAGATATTTTATAACCTTAAAATATAACTGTTTCTTATTTTAAGGAAAGATGGATAGTGCCTAGCAGTAGAATGTAGGAAGCGCGTTTCGTTTTGAAACGAACGGTACTGGGTTTGAATTTCGGGGTGAACATTAACTGTGAGATGCAGGTACATCCAACTGACGATTCCCAAATAGAATTATCCATCTTTGCTTATAAAGCTTGTGACTTAAGGGTAGATTAAATAATTCTGTACAGGATGCACATATGCCAACATGAAACGGATCAATTACGGTCTTAAATAACAGTGAGAAGAAACAAGTAAAACAACATCATGTGTATTTATGTTTCTTATTTTTATTCAATTTTTTGAATTATATTACCTTTAGATGGGTCAAAGTAGATGTCACAAGATGCATTTCTGTTTTATCAGGGATTTTTGGCAAATGTCAACTTTTGATTAGACAGGTGTATGTGAGAGATCTTTATATTAATGTATAATGAGTTTATTATTTTCATAGACAAAACAAGTTATTACATAAATGTTAATAGAACTTAAAATTCAGTAATTATGCTTAGACTTTAACATTGGAAATTAACTTCTTGTTGGGATACTCAGAAAAATATCCCAAAAACAATTATCCGGTTAAGTCTAACGCTACCCTTGAACGTTAAATGGTGTCATTTCCCTATTGGTCGTTTCCCTACTGATCAATATTTATTTCGCGTGTCATTTTCCTATTGGTCAATATTTATAGTAATCCTAACTGTATAAATATGCATTTGTTTGTAAATCATTATTCTGCTGCTCGTGACCCCATAAACGATTTTTCATCTACGGTTCGTGTTCTGATATATTGGAGATTGGGAACAGTATTGGGGTCGAACTGGGATATCTGAAGCTTATCGATCGGTAGAATTTAGAGTAGCCAACTCGCGATTCACAATAATTTGGCGACGGAGATTGAGCAACAAGTTGGTGATTAACTATGGATCCAGCCAAATTAGAAAAATTGTTCGAACAGCAGCTGAAGCTGATGGAGATGATTACTCAGACGCACATATCTTCTCGAGTCCCAACTACACCGACAATTCCTGAATCAGTTGATGGTATTACCAGTGGTATTTCAGAATTTCTTTATGATCCTGATGCCAACATTACATTTGATACCTGGTTCAGACGTTATGAAGACCTTTTCAAAGTTGACTTTGCTGACAGAGATGATTCGTGGAAGGTGCGTCTTCTTCTTCGTAAACTTGGTCCATCCGAGCTGGATAAATATTGCAACTTCATTCTACCGCAGAACCCACGCGACCGTTCATTCGACGCCACTATTCAGTCCGTTAGCCAACTTTTTGGTGATGATCACTCACTCTTCAGTACCCGATATCGCTGCTTTAAACTGGTCATGAATGAGTCCGATGACTTCCTGACCCACATCGGCGTTGTTAACCGTGAGTGCGAACGGTTCAAGCTCAGATCCCTCACTGAAGACCAATTCAAGTCCCTAGTACTCATATGCAGTCTTCAGTCACCCAAATTCTTCGACATCAGAACTCGGTTGCTTAACCGCCTTGAACAAGATCCAACACTGACACTTGATGCGACCATAGACGAATACCAGCGTATCATCAATCTGCAGCTTGACACTACTTTGGTTCAATCTGGGGGCCAGGGTGGTTCCGAAGTTCATTCTGTTCAGCACCAGAAAAAATCTTCAAGATCGACAAACTCGAGTCCTTCGAATACCAGCGCTGTTTCTATCTCTAATCACTCTAAACCGGCTCAGAAGAAGCCCCCCTCGCCATGTTGGCACTGTGGAGCCTGGCATTATGTAAAGTTCTGTCCATTCAAACAGCATATGTGCGATCGCTGTCAGAAAGTTGGTCACAAAAGCGGCTTTTGCAAATCCAACCGATCCAATAACCATCGAAATGCACAGACGCAGCGTCGTTTTCACGAAAAGCCGATTACCTCATCAAGGAGTTTAGCAGCAGTCTTCCATACTCATGCCGCGACTCGACGTAAATTTCTGACCCTCTCAATCAATGGTCAGCCAGTTCGTTTGCAGTTGGACACTGGACTGTGTTCCACAACTGAAGCTGTTTTAAAACTGCAGTCAGAAGCTACGCCAGCTTTTCGCCCAAAGCGTCCAGTCCCATACGCATCTTTACCTCTGGTTGATGCTGAACTTCAACGTTTGGAAACTGAGGGTGTCCTAGTACCTGTTTCTTATTCATCATGGGCTGCACCAATTGTGGTTGTAAAAAAATTCAATGGCTCCATACGCATCTGTGCAGACTTTTCCACAGGACTCAACGCGGCTCTACAACAGCATCACTATCCGCTACCGATCCCAGATGACTTATTTACTATTTTAAATGGTGGTACCTACTTTGCTAAGCTGGATCTGGCAGATGCTTACCTTCAAATTCCAGTCGCTCTCGAATCGAGAGAGTTGTTGACAATCAACACTCTCCGAGAACTTTTTCATTACACCCGGTTACCCTTCGGTATCAAAACTGCTCCAGCGATCTTCCAGCAGATCATGAACACTATTCTGGCAGATGTTCCTGGTGTTGCTACATACCTTGAGGATGTCCTCATTGTCGGCTCAACTGCTGATGAATTGCATACCAGAACCCACTTAGTTCTGCAACGCCTCCAGGATAATGGTTTTCGCCTTCGCCCAGAAAAGTGCCAATTCTTCTTACGTTTCGTTAAGTACCTGAGGTTTATCTTTGATGCTTCCGGACGACACCCTGATCCTCAAAATACTTACGCAATCCAACAAATGCCTGCTCCCACTGATGTCTCCTCACTGCGATCATTTTCGGGAATGATTAGCTACTATTCAGAATTTCTTCCATCACTGCATGTCGTACGATATCCATTAAATCGTCTGCTAGAAAAGAATGCTACTTGGAAATGGTCAACGCAATGTGAGTCAGCCTTTTCAAAACTTAAAGCCATGCTAACTTCCAATCTTCTGCTAACCCACTACAATCCGAAACTACCCATTGTGGTTGCTGCTGACACTTCAACACATGGACTGGGTGCCGTAATCTCACATGTCTTTCCCGACGGGTCAGAGAAAGAGGTGATGCACGCTTCGAGAACACTAACACCTGCTGAGAAACGCTACGGCCAGATGGAGAAGGAAGCGTTAGCCCTAATTTTTGCTGTCCGGCGATTACACAAATTCATTTATGGGCGCTGTTTCACCTTGCTCACAGACCACAAGCCGTTGTTATCAATCTTTAGATCAAAGAAAGGCATTCCTGCCCATTCGGCTAATCGTCTTCAATGTTGGGCGTTGGCGTTATTGGGGTACGACTTCGACATCCAGTATCGACGTTCCGAAGATTTTGGTCAAGCGGATGCACTGTCCAGACTTATCAGTAACCATTCTACCACTGATGAGGACACACTCATAGCCATAGTATCAACCGGAGAGGATTCCGGTGCTACACTATTGGCGAATGCCGTTCGAGCAATGCCTGTTACCGCTGAAGATGTTCGGGAAGCTACCAGAGAAGACCCGATTATCCAAGAAGCGATCACCTATGTTCAGAGCAGATAGCCAGTGAAGCAGCTGAGTGGTGATATGCAACAACTAGCGAATCGTCGCAGCGCTCTCTGTATTGTTAACGATTGTCTGATGTTCGGTGATCGCGTAGTAATTCCAACAACCCTACGTTCCAAAGTCCTACGCCAATTCCACTCTGGACACCCAGAGATAAACCGTATGAAATCCATCGCTCGCAGCTATGCATATTGGCCAAATATGGACAAGCAGATTGTCGACTTCGTCAAAAGATGTTCACATTGCCAAAAAGCTGCGAAAAATCCTCCTAAATGACCTCCAGTACCCTGGCCAAAGTCAGAAAAACCCTGGTCGCGAGTGCATATTGACTTCACCGAACCCCTAGATGGTACCACATATCTGATACTGGTTGACTCATACTCCAAATGGCCGGAGATATTGCCGATTGCGCCACCCTCTACAACTCGAACCATCAAACTCCTTAATCAGATCTTCGCTCAACATGGTCTTCCAGAAATAATAGTAACAAACAATGGTTCACAATTCACATTTAGCCAATTCCGAGAATTTTGCCTGCAAAATTCGATCAACCATGTTCGCTCTCCGCCATATCATCCGCAATCTAATGGACAAGCTGAAAGGTTCGTTGATACATTTAAACGAGCCATGCTTAAAGCACGAGGGGAGGGGACCACAGAAGATATCATAGAACGATTTCTAGTTGCGTACCGGACGACCCCGCATGACTTATTGCCAAACTCCAAATCCCCTGCTGAGATGCTTATGGGGCGAAAGCTACGGACAGTTCATGGTGCGATGAAACCCAAGCAAGTGGCCCAGCAAAGCCCCCAGATGAAGAATACTCGAATTCCCTACGAAGTCGGTACAAAAGTGTATGCGCGAGATTATAGACATGGATGTGATTAATGAGTAGAGGGTGAAATCACAAAAAAACATTGGGACGTCATGTATGATGTCAAAGTGAACCAAGAAATCTGGACCAGGCACCACAATCAACTCAGGTCAAGGGAAGCGAAGGAGAAAGAAGCAATTACAAAACGCGTCCCACTCGACTTGCTGTTGGACACGTTTGAACTTCCGCCAATACCTCTAACAGAGACGACTAAGTCATCTACTCAAGTAGAACATCCTTCTGGTCCTGTGTAGTTGCCTCGGAGGTCGGATCGCAAAAGAAGACACCCAAAGAAACTTCAAGTAAACCCTCGGTTACGTCGCTATTAACTTTCCAAAGGGGAGGTGTTGGGATACTCAGAAAAATATCCCAAAAACAATTATCCGGTTAAGTCTAACGCTACCCTTGAACGTTAAATGGTGTCATTTCCCTATTGGTCGTTTCCCTACTGATCAATATTTATTTCGCGTGTCATTTTCCTATTGGTCAATATTTATAGTAATCCTAACTGTATAAATATGCATTTGTTTGTAAATCATTATTCTGCTGCTCGTGACCCCATAAACGATTTTTCATCTACGGTTCGTGTTCTGATATATTGGAGATTGGGAACAGTATTGGGGTCGAACTGGGATATCTGAAGCTTATCGATCGGTAGAATTTAGAGTAGCCAACTCGCGATTCACAATACTTCTGTAATACAGCTCAATTGGATGTAACAGTTTGAAGATGGATTTGAACCGAACTTGATGAGTTTGTGATCAGTCAACGTAGTATCCAAGAAAGTTTATGTCGATTTATTTTGATCTAAGTGATGGTTTACCTTAATCTAGTGAATGTTTACAGATATGATTAAAAGCAGAAACCAATGGTAAATTATACTATAATTTTCTTCCAAATTCTTCATGAAAGTGAAAGAAGTATCATTAAATAAAAGAATTTTTCCCTAGTTGTGTTTTTAATTAAACCAACTCTTATTATGTACTAATCTCAATTCAGTTAATTTTTTCTACTTGTCTTTCTCTTCCTTTCCTGTATATCAGGTCTAAGGTCAACTAGTAGGATGTTTTGTACGAAAGTGATACAATCCTAATTTCATTCAAATAATCTGAAGAGAACTGACTTTTAGCGCCAGATAATAGCAGGAACTAAAGGATTAGTTATGAAAGTCTTTAGATATGTTATGTTCAGATTATGAGTATGGTTGACTAAAATATTAGACTACAACAAGGGTTAAATGGAGTTAAGTTTGACTGTTATTTATCATTCACTGTCTTATTGTACAAAGAAACACAGGGACAGTTTAGAGACAACTAAAAGCTTTCGTAATCACCTAACTTCTAAGTAGAGGTATACAACTATCTCTTCCATGGAGAACAGTAGGGTATTATTTATTGTTTTTTAAATAACCTTATTGAAATCAACTTTTTTTTTAACATTTTTAAACATTAGCCAACAGCTGAAGTTTAATACAATTTATTAAAATAGTCTTAAAACAATTAGTCCCTTTGATAAATTTCGATATTGCAATGAGAAGACGAAGATTACGAGAAATATGTAATACATTTCGAACAATCTGATCACACATATACTTGTTAAGAACATTTATATATGAAAATTAAAAGGTCAACTAGACAGGTTAAGGGTAAGTCATAACAAAGGAAAAAATATTAAAGTACACAAAAACAAATGTGATTACCACTCTGGATAGTAAGTCAGTACTACCAGGGTAGGTTAAGTGTAAGTGCAAATTGTTTTTGAGCACATAAAGGGGGTTTCAATTTTCGTATAACCAAGGCTTCAATAAACCTTAGTATACGTCCTTGAAGGCTTTTGTACAATACAACAAATGCTGATTTGATATCAACCTTATGACTCGTCTCAATCAAATGTTTCGCAATGGATGATGATGTCTGTCTATCCTGTGATCTTATTTCACCATTGGAATTCATCTGATTCTACAACCATTTTGGTATATGTTCACCCACCCTTGAGTGCAAATCACGATTGCTCCTCCCTATGTACGTGTTTCCACACATACATGTAAATTGATAGACACAATCGTTTTCATGCTGTTTGGGCTTTTGATGAAACATAGACCTTGTCTTTTCGATAATGACAAGTTTTACCATAATAATGCTTATATATAATAAAACCATCATTAATGTAAAAATAAAGGCTACAACATATTCAGTTTACGCTCTTCTCTGACGATAATACATGCTTCTAAACTACACAATTTGATTGCAAAGGGTTGTAAATCTAGACAGGGTACTCAACACCAACTTTAAAGTAGTGACTCAATATAATTATTCAGAAAGTCCTAAGTTTGCATATATGAATTATCACCAATATGATTTGTCTAAGAAATATGTTTTTGTAATGAACTCGGCATTAGTTTTGTTTTAGATTAATGGGAGAGCATATAGCGATTCAAAGTAGTTACTTCTAACTTTTCTGATGATGAACTGTAGAAACGTTTTTAATACTTACTTACGCGTGTTACCATTCGTGCAGGCGAATAGTCCACTAATCTGGATTCTTCAACCAACTCTGTTCCGGGCTTTCCTTTCTAGCTGTTTTCAACTTCCATTCATTCTTTTAATGTCTACCTCCAGTTCCTGACACAATATGTTTTTGGGTCTTCCTCTTTTCTTCTTCCCTTCAGGATTCAATGTTATGCGTTGCCTCGTGCTTCAGCTTGATGGTGTAGATCATCAACGTAGATGATCTATGTCGAAATGATTGGAGACCTACTCGAGTTAGACGTGAATGGTGTGACGAACCAGCTAACGTCGAAGTCACACCTCGTGGTCGGCACCTTACGTGGACTACCTCATTGACGTATCAAAGTACTATAGATGCTTTGAAGACTGTACAACACAGAGAACGTTATTACAGAAATATATTAATTAAAGTAGATACAAGCGAAAGTAAGACCACTGCCGCATGCACCAGTCCATGGCATATCATTAACTAATGCGCGTTGATTGTACATGACCTTGGCAGGGAGCGATGATCTGTTCGACATTCAGTTATCCAACTGCCGGATGATTTGGCTAGAGCTCAGTGACATTTCACTGGCCCTACAGTGGCTTTCCAAAAATACACATGTTACTAAAGCAATCGATAAACTTATGTGGTGAATACATTCTGTGTTGACTTTACAGATGAAATCGCAAAAGATTATGCTTTTCATAATAAGATAGGAGGTGATTTCTATGCGATTATGTGAGAAATACATACAACTAGACATTGATGTGTACTAACAATGGTAGTCTTGTCATATTTGTTGAAAATATATTTATTAAACTTGTCTAAAATCTGAGTTGTGCGTTAAAAAGGAAACGACTGTTTGATCTTTGTGCTGGTTACATAAACTGCAAGTAATTACAATTCTGATCGGTATTTCAAAATTCTTTTTGGACATTATGTTTATTTAAAATAATTTATTCAACGTTATTAGTTTTACATAAACTTTGATAAAATTCAATCAGCACTGAAAAGGACTTGATAAACATGACCCTGGTTACTTGTTAGTGATCAATTTACATCCTATAGAATGTTACTATTGTCTCGAGTAGCTCAGTGATACTTGTTTCATACTGTGAATCTGAATGATAAGAATCAAATCCAACGTGAAGCATCAGGAGCTAACGGGTACACTTTATCAAAGAATCCTAAATAGCAAGAAAATTAGGTCTAGGATTGATTTTCTGTTGACTGTGTTTAATCACTTGACACTTATTAAAACTACTGCTGGGCTATTTTGATACAGGTTTACATTTATTTCTATAAAAATTCAGTCCCATAATAATACAGCATGCAAAACTCACTTAGAAATTTTGAGACTTTCGTGATGTACAAATATGGTTTTAATAAAAATAAACTATTTGAACAAATTAATTTATTGGCATACATAATCATTGTCATACTAGTTTGCAACATAAGGATAAATAAACGGTTAATGGAAAAGAAAATATTCCCTTTTTCAATTAGTTCCTCTTCAAGGCTTTACAGCAGTATATAAATTTATAAGTTGAAAATTAACACTAAATAAATAATGATCGGTTATTTTTAATGGTTGAGATCATGAGTCAATTGGAGCTAAACCACCGTGGAAAACTTGGAAGCACTGGACGGTGGTCTATTTTCAATTGACTCATGATCTCAACCGTTAGGAATTACTATAATATCCACAAAACCCCTTCTGATACTAATGATCGGTTAGTATAGCAATGGATATCAATATATGTTTTCTAAAGAAAATATTAATACTAATGGTAATAGTAATGGTGAGAATATAATTTATAAATGACCTTTAAGTGACGCTAAAGTAACCTTGAGAACGTTCATCTACTCACTAGGGCTAAATGACGGTTATAAACCAGTATGAGGAATAAGTATTATGATTTACAGTGGATGGTTAGGGGTTAGAAATAAGATTTAGGATTTTCATCACGAAATGACATCAATTAAAATGCCAAAACGTTATTTAGCCAAATAGGTGAATGGATTTCACGCCGAAATTCAAGATCCGTTATCCTAAATCTGATTGGTCCGTTCATCAATTATAGTCCCATAATAATAATATTATTATTATAGCAATAGGTAATTTATCCAAAGCTAACCTAGAAAAACACCAGGAAATGTTTAATTTCTCAATCTTACAATTTGATAAAAGTTTTTAATTTCAATATTTTCTAAATATAAAAATAATAATTTCGATGGTTGAGATTATGAGTCAGTTGACGCTAGACTACTATGAGAAACCTGGAAACATTGGATGGTCGTCTCGTCCTAGTGTGGGACTCCTCCGCAGTGAGCATCCACGATCCCGCCTCGTGAGCTTCCAACCCAGGACCTATCAGTCTCGTGCGTGAGCGCTTAACCACTAGACAACTGAGCCGGTCGGTATCCAACAGTGTTAATATCTAACTTCAGCTAATCCTCGAAATTAAGCAACACATCCATCATTGTCTTCAATGAATTACTATCTCATAACAAACCCAGTTGAACTCAAATAAAAGTTTATTTCAAATTGTAATTTCTACGCATCAATGTTTTGAATAAGTGCGGAATAACAAGAATAGGGTATCAAACATAATTGATTTATTTAACTATTCTAAGCCTGCACTTAACATTTTATACGCAACCTTAAAAAATAATAATTTATACAATATAGATGTTCATATAAATGAATAAACATATATATATATATATATATATATATATATATATATATATATATATATATATATATCCATATATACTATTGAAGCACTCTCATTTTATCATTTACAATAAAATATGCTATTCACTAAGTATTATTTAATAGGAATAATAATACATATTGCTTTAATTAATTCAATTTATACATATTCTAATCATTATTATAATGGACTTTTAGAACATTCTAGAAAAAACTCATACGATGCTATAAACTTTCCATTGAAAACAATTCATGGGCGTAAATATGATATGGAAGATGGAGCTGGATTTGTACCAGATAATTATGGTAATCATGATAACCACGATGATGAAGATTATGATTCATATCATAGTAATAATTATGATGATGGTGAAGCGCATAATTATGGTCATGTTAATTTAGCAGAACAATCAATGAATAAATTAAAAGAGTTAAAACGTCGTAAATACAATGAATATTATAAAAGTAATGATGAAGAAGAAGAGGGAGAATATGGTCAACATGATGATGGTAAACCACATGAATATCCGCGTGAAGAATCACCACAACGATCAACTGAAGCGCCGAGAAGAACTACAACCAGGCCAAATTTGTTGGCAGAGTAAAGTATTCACCTACTAATTGAGAGTATTCAGATAATGAATTAAAAATATCAACATGTAAATGAATTAACTGACTTTTTAAATGATCTAATATCATGAATATATGTTGTACGATTTAATAAAACAATAATGACA